CCCCCCCCCCAGAGTTTTGCGTGATAGGGAAATTATTTACCCACACCACACCACGCCCTCGTAGGCACCGAATTTCTCGCTACTTTCACTTCAATTTACACAGTTCTTGCTCCAACAACAACACTCACTTCAAACTCATAGCCCAATTGAATCCTTTGAGCAATTGCAGTATTTGAGCTATTGGCCAGGAGTCCAATAAATACAGCTAACCACTGATAGGCCCTTGCGGCATCTTTCCGCATGTCATTGCAATTTTCTGCACCATCCACAGGCATCGTTTTGACAATATCAGCCTGGCGAACAGCGGAGCGAGCAATCGAGAGACCCACATCTACCCAATCGCTGTTCTCCGAGGAGGAGGGGGGTCCAGAAGCAGTAGGAGCAGGATCTGTTATTTTGGCTAGATACATGAAATAAACTGCTCGAGTGAATCGCCAGAGAAAGGCCGGATGATGTCTAAACTAAAGGAAAGAGGAGAAGGAGCAAATGTTAGGGAACGAAAACAGAAGTAAAAGGGAAGGCTAATTTGACCCCCAAGGGGAGAATTAATGTTTTTTTTGTTTTAATAATTTGAATCCTAAATATTTTGAGACTCAAATCACACACATAACTGACATATCAAGCTTGTTGCATTCATACGCCTAAGTTTACTCTATTAGCGGTAAATATAAGCGAGAGATAAACATCTACGTGGATTTATTCCAGGCGAAAACGCACTGGGTGAAGAAGAAAAGGATAAATTGAAATCGTGTCAAAAATACGTCAATTGGACTTGAAAGCTAGTGGCTAATGGCGACACCGCATATTGGAAAATGGATTCCAAATACAAAATGTCTAAGTACTGATCAACTTATTGAAGGCTCATGATAGATTTAATGTCCTTCACAATACAAAACTCTGAATATGCACCCAAACACGTTCAAAATTGCACTTTTTAAAGCTTGCAAGAGTAGAACTACCTATAATAGGAAACAAATGATCGTGTCAAAATGGGAGGGGAAAAATGACATGCCGTCATTAAAGTGAGGACTCAGATACGCAAGCAAATTACAATTAATTCCCCCCAATAGACTTCAACAGTTTTCAGGCTATGAATTTCTATGGGCGAGAAACATCAATCATGAATAGGTAGAGAGGCTAATCTTACAAATTCCGGGATGATCTAACCTTCGAGAGAAAAGGCACATAAAGGTCAGGATTTTGTTATTCAGTCCTCTCAAACCAAAGTACAAGACTTTTAAAGCTGCAACATAACTGCATCCTTGATACGATTCAATTACTAAGTAAATCTTTATTATTTCAAATGGCAGACATTATGATATTTACATTGGCCCAATAACTTACTACCCTATCAGATTTTATCAACGCATGACAAATAAAGACTACTTGAAAGACCACCGCAACAGCCACTAATTGAACTAGGAAATCACCATAGTGATGCTTTTGCATGCGCCTAACCAATGATTTAAATTTACCGCGATTCGTAAAACGGATCTCCGATCACTTCGAAGTAAATAACCTAATTTAACTTTCTTTTCTTACAACCCCGGGTCGGAGTGGGTTGTCAAAAGTAAAATTACAACTAACCCACATCACGGTAACTACTTCATCTACAAATTCACATAAATGGCTGACTGATTCACGAGAGCGGCTCAAATATGCAAGATTGCTCATCCACCACACCCCAAGAAATAGAAAAATGAGAATGGTGTAAAATACCAAAGAAGACATTTTATTTTATTTAAAAATTGAGTCGAAATAAAGCCGAAGTACCTACTTACTTTCTTTTTGTTCTCCAGACACATGAAGTAGTACGTTTCGGCTTTGGATTTGAGATCTCGGCCCGGTGTAGCACGACTAGCTGATTGGGCAAGCCTATCCAAAGTGAACATCACTTCAGAGGGAAGTGGTTGGTTCGGCGGCACCAGTGAGAAAAGGGATACGGAAGAGGAACGCGCAGATGTGAATTCACCGCTACAATCACTGAAGAATGAAGAGTTAGTTAGTACCTTCTTCAAGGCCATTCAAATCCGCACATCAAATTCAACCTAGAATAGCTATTAGATTTTCTTTGGAAAAATTTTAAATACTACTTGTCAAGCCGGGTTAATTCTCCTGGTTACCAAACTCATGATGAGGTATTTGGTGAATGGTAGTAGACAGCAAAATTATTGACGAACTAAATGCGTGATTGTAATAATTTACAACAACATACATTTTCTAATGAAGGTGTAAATTCGAACGTACTAGTACTGCTGTTTATCAAAGGAGTTCTAATTTGTTTGAAACCTAAAAAAACTAACTGAAATTGAGCTAGTTTAAAGAGTGAAAGGTTTCTGCAGATATAGGCTGAACCAAAGAGAAAACTAAATTAAGGATAACGGTAAGAAAGCACGGTTCGTTGAAATTTAATTTCCTGATAATCGAAGGTGGTAAATGTAAGGTAGATGCAGATGATGTCTATTGTGAGGGCTGAAACTAGTAAATTGATACATGTGCTCCCAACCATTAATTGGGAGTCTTTCTCGGCCACAGAGCAACATTCCATTTGAAAAAAGAATATCGGATAGCAAAAGCGAATGCTGTTGAGTTTACTTTAAACCAGAAAACAGACGAAAAGAAGGAATAATTAGATTCAAGAACATAAAAAGTCCTAGAAGTCGATAGATTGAAATTATTGCAAAAATATTACTTTAGATAAGAGTAAAATAGGTGCCTCCTATTAGAAAACAAAATCTTACCTCGAAAATCCTCCAGTGGCGTCAAAAAATTCATCATCACTTGTGTCACTGTCCAGAATTGCCTCTGCAGCCACCTAATAATAAAAAAAAATAATTATCGTGCAAATAACTACTATTCAATGCAACAGAAAAATAGAAGGCATCCTCGCATTGAAAGTTATAGGGGAAGGAAGTACTACTAACAAGAAAAACTGAGCATCTTAGTATCGCCACCTGGTGAAACTTGCAAAAAAAACAAATAAAGAAAAAGAAACAGATAAATGGAGGAGGAGGGAAGTCAGTAGTATTTATAAGGTTGAAAACATATGACGACATTTAGACCAAAAAGCTCACATGATAAATGAAATAAATTAGAGCAGTTGAAACAAGAATGGGGCGAAAGCCAAACTTACAGATCCTTCGGTACGATTGGCAAAACTCTGTTGAACCGTTTCTAATTTCTTTAGTAACTGATCAGAACTGTGCTTATTTGAGAGAATATAACTGACATATTTGACTCCAAGTACTCCTACAACCGTCCCCAAAGCGAAACCGACGGCAAAGGATATTGAAGGACGAGAAAATGAAAATCGGTGAGCACTTGAGGGAGACATAGGGAAAATTGGTGCATGGTGTGAGGTAAAATCGCGCAATGCAGCGACGATAAAGGGAAAACTCCCACCTCTGGGAATGTAATCCGACTAAAAGATAATGAATAAAAAGTAAGATAAATTAGACTAAGAAATACACTAAGGCACAAAGCAAGAGTAAGTAGAATAGCACAAATAACTCGAGCTCAATCTTAGTCCAAATTCATGAGCGAAAAAATGATAAATTCTCATAAAACTGCATTAGGTGGTGTAAGTATGTACAAAATAATAAAAAGACTATGCCCAAAATAAAATATTTATTGATAACTAGAAATTAATTACTAAGGACCTAAAAATATTGATGAGTTCTCTGTAACCAATATTGAGAATATATTTTACCGTAGTACTCCTTTCTAGAACATGTACTCAATTGTAGGCATTACCATTTAAGAAGTAGTATTACATTCAGTATAGGATCACAGGACTGTTAATGCTCCGATTGGTTAATTTGAATTTGTCACGGTTATACAGTTCGATTGCTAGAATAATCATTAACGAAAGCTTATATAAAATGTAATTATTTAATGTTATCTACTCATTTAGAATCTTAAACATGTTAGTTACTTAAATAGTTTTGAAAATTATGCTACATCCAATCATTGAGCCAAAGTGAATATAATTTCTAATACTAATGTATTTGATATCAATATTAGTCCATATTTTCCAACTTTAGTATCTTAATATCCCGTGAACATTAAGGAATGTGTTATTTGAAGAAGTTTATGGTGTTGGTCCATCATTACTTTGTTCTAAAAATGTTAATGGCAACAACTTAATGTTAGTAAGTAGCAATTTTAATTTGATTTATAGGAGTTTAGCTCAATTACCTAGGTGATGATTAATTTAGTTTGCCAATTAGTTGCGCTAAACAGCAGGTGATCAATTTATTACAGTATCAGCGTTACATTGACTATGGAACAGAGGTCCTTTCTTATCAGCATTTTACAAGAAAGGATAGGGTAAGAAAAACTAACGACTAGACACGAAATTACATCTTGAGCTTCATCAATCGAAATGATTTTCAAAATGAGTCACAGCGCTAATTGAAACCAGTCAGCTATTCTTCATGAGTCACTAAAACAGATCAAGGGTAATAGCTCTCAATGAATGTGTACAAGCATCGTTTCAATACCATGCAGCACTCTAATCCATTTTTGAATGGAACATGGCACTCTTTGACGAGAAAGCTTGCAAATCCCTGGTTTCGTTCCAGTTATGGGGTGCGCAATAGACTTACCTCCATGTGGCGCATCCTTGGCAACGTATGCTCATACGGCAAAAGTCTATTGATCGGCAGTTGACCTCTGACTTCAAATTTCTAAGGCCCGACTATTTTTCATATTCGACCCCTTCCACAGTAATCATCTTACCTTTTTTATGCCTTTGTGTCTGTCTGTCTCTTTTACCTCTGTGAATCATTATTCTGTCTCCCAATGTATGACTTTTTGCCACTTTGGTGTTCCTCATCCTTTCTGTGAAGGATTTTTGCCACTTTGATGTTCATCTTCCTTTCTGTGAAGCGTTTTGTCACTTTGATGTCCCTTCTGCTCATCGTGAAGCCCCGAAGTCAGCTCCAGGGCTAATGATAACTTCTTCAAAACTCCTGCCATTTGATATAAATAAATAAATAATTGGGAACAGCCTGCCATTTGATATAAATAAAAGGACTAATGATAGCTATCAAAACGCCTGCCATTTGAAATAATTAATGATAACTATCAAAACGCCTGCCATTTGATATAAATAAATCGTTCCAGTTATAGCAGAAGCCCTTAAAACACGCCATCTTTTCTCTTGACATCGACTGCCCTCGCTTCCACAATGCTTTTTCGCCCGTTCACAGATATATATGGGCACGTATAACTAATTAAACATTCACCTCTATTTCTCTTTGCTTCCCATTGAACACACACGAGCTCTAGAAAATTGTAAAATTAAATAAAACAAATACTCCAAATAAGACTAATTAATTCAAGGACATAAAGATAGCAAATTAAAGACGCTCCAAAGAGCGAATTTACAATACGATACATTAGAAGTAGTAACCACGTAATGAATATTAACACGTGCATATAAGAGTTGCTATCATCCCAATTTTAAATCACAACACTCTCATCTTATTTGAACGCTGTTGGTACTGCCGACCATTCGCCAGGCTCTGCAGTACCAGATTTCGGTGAATTGTTTCCGTTTGACGCCTTTGGACCGATATTAGTAGCGGTTGAAGATATTGATGTAGGTGCATTACCGGAAGCTGAAGTACTAGAAAAGGTAGTGTTGTTTTGAATGGCAAGAAGTTCTCTCAGCGCTTGATTCTCAGCGTTTAGGCGATGCAACTCAGTCTCCAACTCTGTGGAATAGGCTTCTGATTGTTCGGCGACTTCTTTAGCAATTGCCGCCATAACAGCAAGACGTTCATCGTTTGCAGAAGAGCAATCCACCTTATCTATACCCTTTTTACCTTCTGACGTTCTGATTTGATTTGATAAACCACCATTGCGTTCAATCACTCGCTTTTCTGTCTCAGTTGCTCCCATCAGATTTGAAATCTAGAGTATAAAGGAAATTGCAACCTTTAGACCAACTATGTAGCTCACCAATCTTATCTGGCCTCCCGTTAAGTCCGAATTTTTAACAGACAGTATTCTAAATGAATTCTATGGAACCTAGAACGGTACTAAGAGCGCCGTAGACAAGGGAGAGACATCTAGAATGCACTCACTCCCTATACTCCATCGATATTGGAACATACAACCGCCCAATTCGACAATCAAAACACTAACGCGGTTTAGAATGGGAAAGCACTAACGGACGAAGTAATTTCAGCAAATATGCCCAAGACCAAACAGAATTAGGTAAAACCGAGGATAGCATAAAAGTTCAGTGAATTGCAACAGTTCAGGTCCACAGAATCTACTCACTACCGTGGAATGGAAATCACATAAATTGATTTCCACACAGGGGCCTCACAGCCTAATCAATATGCAGGTACCTACTGACCCGAAGAAATAGGCCATCTTAGAAAAAAACAACAAAGATTCAGACAGTAGACCATATTTTTTAAAAAATACAACTTGAAGAGCTCCTTTCAGTCTATCTTGCCGTATTTAAACAAACTATAGTCAAGCATTACCTCGTAGAAACCTATATTATATTGGAAAAAAGACTTAAGTGCTGCAATAGGACCGAGATAGACGTACTTTAAGAGCTACTGCGTGATCTATCCAATTGCTGACCACTGTAGGGTAAAAGACGGATTAGAAAAAACCCGGTTCAAAAATGCTCACTAGTAACTGCAAGGAAAATTAACACTAGGGTAGGAGCAGGTGAGACGACGTGCTGTGGCCCAGTAATCAAAGGCGAAAAGTAACACATTATTAATTCCCCCCCCCCTCCCCCACCTGTTCACGATATTTCGACATAATCATCTCGAGAGTTAGCTCGTGTTCTTCTAGAGAGGTTTCCAAGGCTTTATTTTGCATTTTGAGTTGCTCCAATTGCTTGTTTTCAGCCGCCAAACATGTGATGAGCTGTCTTCTGGGATGCTTTTCAGCCCGTTTCACGATATCATCGAATTCAAGGGATTCTTCTTGAAACTGAAGGGAAAAAAGAAACGACTTTCATTTAAATTAAGAACAAAATAATAAGACGGACAAATGACTGAGTTCCTAACAGTGCTACTTTACTTCATTACCTTTAGGGGTGAGCGATAGACTTACTTCCACATGGTGAATCCTGGCAACGCATACTCATGCACAAAAAGTCCATAATCGAACAGTACTTCAGACTACTATGACCCCACTGTATGCCATATTCGACCATTTTCACAGTACTCACCTTACCTTACCCTCTACCTTTGTGTCTGTCTCTTGTACATCTGTGAAACACTCTTATGTTCCTCCACCCCCCCCCCCCCCCCCCCCCACCCCCAAACGACTTTTGTAACTTTGATGTTCCTCCCTTCTGCGAAGCCCCAAGTCAACTAAAGGGCTAATGATAACTATCAAAAAGCCTGCTATTTGATATAAATTTCACTGCCAAATTCGATAATTACTCGCCTTTTGGAAACTGATTCAGTAATACACGCTACACTTCCAATTGGGTGGTCTTTTAGAGGATAGTCTTTATTTATTACCAATCTCAGAAAAGAGAAATATGATTAAAAACGAGCTACTTACGGCCCTCATTGATTCCAGATTTGTCTGCAGTGTACCTACAGAATTCAGCAACTCATCAGCAAAAGCCTCTCGAGTTCGCATCCTCTTTGAAAGTAACTGGACATCCTTCAACACCTTTTCTACAGTCGGCTTCATCATATTCAACTCCTTCGGTACTGCAAAACACACCATACTTGAAACACAACTGTTACTCAATATAATGTAAGTAGTAAAGAAGCTCAGCAATCAGACAAAGGTAGCATTTTTGTACAATTGAAACGTCATTTTATTTAAACAGGATTATATACACGCGACTAGGCACTATGACATAATGCAGTTGAAGAGGCTGGGAAGTTAGAGAATCGCAAATTGGCGGTAGAGGAGATCTCGAACTGTGAAGTATGTCGGCGAGATGATCCCTTCTAAAGTCATTTTTCCCGTCTGTGTACGCTTTATTGACACACAGTTCTCCACCACTAGAGCACCGCTGTTGAACTCTGCTTGAAGACCCATTTCAAGGAGCAGTTGTTTCATCTAAAGCGAGGACGAATTAAACATTTAAGGGTCAAGACCAAGTTGTGCCAATGCCCTATTAAGACCTTGTCATAATAATACAGACTTAAAGCTCTGTCAAATAATGAAAAAAGGTGATAAAGAGAATAGGTTGCTAGCTGATTCATCCCAAACAGAGCCATTGTTCCTCTTTAAATGATTAGAAATCACGAGAAGAGAATAGAAGCAGGAGGGAAGGGATTAGAACATTTCCGCTGCATTAATGCAAAATGGCGACAAATAGACCTACATCAGAAAGTCTTGGCTCATTGACAAAAACAGTAGAGTGGTCTTCAATTAAATGTGCCGGAGGATTGAGAACTGGCAGATTATCAGCCGAGACACCTTCTGAGATGATTCCAATCACACCTCCCTCGGTGTTATTCTCATCACCGGTTGAAATGTCGGCATCAACCCAAGCAAGGTCATACTCGCGGATCTTGGTGAAACGAAGACGTCTCACCAGACTGTCTTTCATACGAGCCTGGTAGATGTCACTCTCCTTGGTACAATTGACCACGTCAACCCCCGAGGGAGTGTGAATGAGCTCTTTACGCAGATTAAGGTCACTGCGACAGTGTTCGACAACAGCGTTCACAGCGGCTTGAGTGGCACCGATTACAATCACTTCATGGGGTCGTAAACCTGTGATAATTTTGCGCAGGGATTCGCCGTCCGAACGACTCTATTTTAAAGGGAGAGGGAGGAAATCATTAAATGATAATTTTTTTTCACTTAAATGAACTCGATGTTACTTCATGGAATTATAGGCCTTTGGTTAAAATGCAAGTTCTAACGATTTCAAGAACTGCATCGGCAAGACTCACCAGCCTCCCTACCCTCTTAAGATGACTAGTCTCTTCATGGAACTCAAGGTGCAACGGATAAGTTGATTGTGAAGGAGTGCATTAAGTCTGAAGGTAGGCATGTGAACAATACAGTTATTTGATACATACGAATGATTACATTGAAGGTGAGTTTTAGGAAAATAGAGTCCTTCTACATTCATAATTTATACAGTAAATTATACGTATTTTTCCATTGGTATCTGAAACCCATGCTTCCCTTTAAGCTGATCTTAGTCCAAACGAAAAAAAACAACGAGAAAAGAGAAGGTTGAAGTAGTCGGCTTATCATTTATGACGGCCTTCACTCAATTCAATGCCGCTACAATAACTCCACTTCAGCGTGTGACTTGAAGATGAAACTTTTTTTGGTTCCAAGTATCTTGAGATGGCCTCTGGAATGTGAACGTGACTATGACAAGGAATGCCGAAACAAGACAGAAAAATGGACTCATTATTAATCAATAATTAAGCATCGCAAAGCGTATCATAAACAGGTGTATCGATTATTAGTTATATTAAAAAAAGCAATCAAGCAAAAGAAAGCAAAAATTATTTCACCTCAAAGTCAATGAAGCTGACTTCACACCTGAGAGGAATCTCCAACTCCTCTGAGACGCACTTCGTAGTCATATTGTTGGGAATTTGGAATTCGGGGGAGTTGACATTCACACTCGACGTGTTCTGCAGAACCAACAGATTCAACAACTTCTCCATTGGCGCCGTTGCTAAGTCCACTCCAGCTTTCTTCTTTGCTCCATTCGTTGTTGGCTGTACTCTGGAATTCCTATCTACATGGGGAGTAAGATAAAGATAAATATCGATCAA